AGGGAGGGGCGGGGCCATCTGCTGCGACCGGTAATGATCCTTCCGCAGGATCATTACCGGTCGAGGATTTTTTAACGGAATTATCTGACAAACAATGTGACTTTCTAACTTGTGTGGACTTTCAACAAGTCTGTGTTTGAGTTTTGATGACTGCATTTTGAATATTTTATCACTTATACCTAATTAACAGTAATCTCTTTGTGGGTACTGTAACCAAACAGTTTGCTGGCCTCAGCTGACAGTACAGTGCTTTCACCCTCTAGCCTAAATACAGCTCCAAAACGAACAACAGAGCTGCTGCCAAAATGTTAATGGCGAGAGTTCAAATTCCACTCTGATAAAGACATATAAAAGATTAGCAAATTAGTTAAGATGACATTGCAACCGCTGCTTTAACACAAGACCAAAACCTCACACACAACCTCATAAGGTACGATTTAACCTTTAGCAACAGTATTTCCCAAAGCACCAAGCAGTTCCTCTAAAGCCTTGAAGTTGTGGTATCTTGCTGCCTGAATAAAATGTTCAATAATTTATCATTAAGTTTGCAAGCAATCTAGGTTTGGCAGAACATGGTGTGCACAAGTAGGACCTTGTTAATCATACAAAGTCAGAGTCAGAGTGTAGTCAGAGTCCTTAAACAACCACTGCCAGATGTCCTAAAAACAGATGTTCCGCTCTCTGATTTAAATGCAATGATAACACACGAGGCACCGACCGGCAAAGCCTCGTCTAGCTCCTTCCACTTCAATTTAATTGATGGAGAAAAGTAATATGGACCTGCAGGTTGAAAATGACACTTGGGCCCCATCTGGCTCCTTCCAGATGGAAGTTTCCAGGTCAACAATAAAGGAAGCGGCGCATCGAGACGCAGGCCACCAGGGCGATTGAAAGATATCAGAGGGTGGCAGAGGGTGGAGGTGACGGTGGGGATTAGAAGGGTTCGGATAAACTACTCAGGGTCCCTGACTAAGTGCCGCTTCCCTGGCCTCCTCTGCCTTTGAAACTGGAGAAGCCAGAGTGTTTCCAACAATGAGAGCAGTGGAGCAGAGCGGGGACGGGCACTTGGAGGTCAGCAGCGTCCCACCGGTGTAGTCTTACTGATGAGTCTATTCAGCCCAGCGGGCCCACAGGGCCTGAATGCCTGGTCCAAAAAGCCACTGCAGCCATGTGTAAGCTTAGGAAGGTCAACCACTTCTAATTGTTCTCACCCTAACACTGCTGCTTCAAGGATTTAAGCTACACTTTACAAACATGGCACACACAGATGTTAACACTTCTTCCTCGGGCAGCTATAAAAACGTCAGAGTGTAAAAAAAAAGAAAACAATCTGTTAATCTCGTGATTTTAAACAGTTACTGAAGATAACAGACAATGAAATAAAATCCTGTTCACAGCAGCCAGAAAAAGGGACGGTCTGGTCACCTCGGTTGTGAAATCACTTTATGACCAGAATTACTGTTAATTCGTTTTCTCATGTTTTGGTTGCAGTTCAAAATTCCACTGGAAGTCTTTCAAAAGCAGAGCATCTCCACAAGCACAGCTGTGTATGCGATACAGAGCTTTTACGGTTTTATAAGCCCACAGAGGGGTTTTTGTTGTTGTTCTAATAAGTACCTGCCTCAGTTATATTGCATCTTTTCGTATCCATACTTCCGTGCCAGCATTTAATGCACCTCTAACGTTTAAAATGTCAACAGTCAACGATACATGCTTTGAAACGTGAAACTTTG